GCACTCGTGTACAAAACTCAAACCAACAGTTAGTAATTTATACTGGGTGATGATTGAAGGTGAAATGAAAATCTGGACCGCGGCCGGACTGGAACCAAAGGCCACCGGGTTACCGGCTCGGTGCTCTACCAACTGAGCTACGAGGTCTGACTGCTGACCAGAATTTTATTTCACTTCAATCACCAAGGGTTTTGCCCGACTACCATATGAATTCGTGATGCGTTACTACCGCTTGATCGTATTCACGCTGACTGCCTAGTCAGGACTTCTCATCCCAATCCAAATCTGACTGAATCAGGGAGAGGGAGCATCATATTGATTATCATTTGACTATTTGAGATTAGCCATAGTTTGGCAGACTAGTATTTATACTAGGTGAGATTGAAGGTGAGATGAAAATCTGGAGTAGTTCTAGACCTCGATCTGTTCACCGAGAGTTTCGTTTCTACCGTACCCTACTTCATAAGTATTTCATGTTGAGGTAGAGAGATACTTTGTTGGTATGCATAGCGTATGTTGTAAATTCGTCTATCAATGAACCTTACATCCTGGTTAACCTACTAGCCTTTCTTACTCAATGCCCTAAAACTGACATGGTGGTTATGCCTCGTTTATAATGTGCTGTTCCTTGTAAAGTTGTACATGAACGTGCATATTTTTACTTATTCGTGAATGAGATTAGTTTTGGAAAACAGCTGGGTTGTCAAACTAAAGTGTGACACCGGTCACTGAAGTGTAGCTGTTGATCTGAGGTATATATCTTGTGTAAATTGGATGGTTAGTATCTCCAGGAGGATAGGATATAATTTTTGGAGATTTGGTTACTAAGTTGATCGTTAGCTACTGCCGTGGTGTGGTGGTTGGGCTGACGTCACAATAACCCTATAAATTACGCTGACTGAAACGCTTTTTCACTTTGGGTCCTAACATGTCAGAAATTGCTGTTGGATAGTGGTAAGACGAAAAACAATTGCCCGTTGTAGTTTGAAATGGTCAGATTATGATAGGGGTCTGAGGTTGAAGTCATACTTTTGGCTGGACGGAGTATGGCAGCAGCAAGGTTTTTCCTTTGGATGACCAGTAGCACCACGATGATTATGCCTTCGCAAAGGGAAGTGGAACTTGGAAAGGTTTTGCCCTAAAAACTGTACACTCCTTTCTGCTCCGCGGTTTTTCGGCGCCAGTGGTCCGGGTTTTCTCGCTCCAGCGTTAGAACAACCAAATCTCAAAACAAAAAGCCGCATGGTTCCAGTAGTGCACGAGACCCAGTCAAACATATTCTTTTCTCCTCAACTCTTTCAGCTCCTGTTACTAATTTTAGACCTATTACACCTTCCCCAACCTCACTCTGCGACCTTTGCCAATAATTAAAGCCATCGAAACCTTATTCTTAATCTCGTAAGATCACGCCATCGATTTCATGTTGTAGCTTTCAGCGTCCAAACTCTCTATGCCAAATTGGACAGCACGCATCTAGCCATGGATGTGTGCTGTCTCTGAGACAGGACCCGAGTGTGCTTATTAAATTGACCTCACCTGGTCATAGTGGTGTATCTCCATATGGCTAGCTTTCGTGGACTCGCTGGTGCTGGCATAGCATTGTGCTGTAGGACAGAAAGTACACTTCTTGACTGGATACCAGTAAACAGCCGTTTATGTTCTGTTTGACTGCATAGATGTATGAGAACTAGGAAGGATCGTGAAACTAGGTGATGCCTATTTATAATCTTTGCCTACGCACCCACCGGCTGTAGTTCGGATGATGCAACGAATGAATTCTATGCTGTCAATTTCGCTACAGAAAGCAAAACGTTCAGATGTAGTCAAAATGACAGGTAACTTTAACACTCAATCAGGGAAGCTGAGCCAATCAGAAAGTCATTTTAGTGGTATTTACGGAATCCCATACCAGCGAACTGACAACGATGATTGTCTGTCACAATTTTGTTCTAACAACCACACGGTTCTGACCAGCGCTAAATTAAAGCATAAGGAGAGACTGTTTTACATGACGCCCCTTAACTTCGAACCGATGATGGAAACATAGGTCATATTTCTTTTGAGAGGATCGGTGGAGGATTGCCGCTCTTTCTGGAGTACCAGTTTGGACTCCGACCACGGGTTCGTATATGTCTGTGCCTTACTGGCCACAGGAGGTAGTGAGGTGCTCGATCGGTAGATGAGGATGTTGAGTACACATTTGAGGACGGGTTAGGTAAGCATTTATCTGAACGTGACAGCAATGCTCATCCTGAGAAAACCTGGCGTGACATTAAGTCTGAAGTAGAAACAGCTGTAACTTATTACACAGACGTTGACCCAATCACAGGTGAATTTTCTTTAGATCTAGAATATGCAGATGACATAGTCCTGTTAGGTGAAGACGCTGACAAGATGCAGAATCTTCTGAACACTTTGAGTGGGAATTCGAGAATGTTTGGGATGCGATTTTCACCCAAATGCAAATTTTTGCTCCAGTACTAGTCTTCAGTGGCTAACATTAGACAGTGAAGTGGTTGAGTGTGTTGACCACTTCACTTACCTGGGAAGTAGGATCAACCCCGGTGGGTTAGTTGCCGATGAAGATTTCTGCACGGATACAAAAGGCTCGATTGGCTTTTGCCAATTTGCACCACCCATGGCGCCGCCGTGATATTCGTTTGTCTATTAAGGGTCGCGTGTACTGCACAGCAGTCCGCTCTGTTCTACTGTATGGCTGTGAAACATGGCCACTGAAAGTGGAAGATATAAAAAGGCTTCAGGTGTTTGACCACCGTTGCCTTCGTAGTATAGGACGTATTCCGTGGTGTCACCATGTGAGTAATGCAGAAGTTAGATGTAGAGTTTTGGGGAGAAGAGGTAAGTCAGTTGACGAGGTTGTGAACCTTCATCGACTGAGATGGTTGGGACACGTACTACGTATGCCTAGTCACCGATTGCCTCGTCACACAATATTGGCTGAGGTGGGTCCAGGCTGGAAAATGGTTCGAGGTGGCCAGACTAAAACATGGCACCAATGTATGAAGTCTCTGACTTTTGGTTCAAGCCATGTAGGACGATGCAGACTAGGTGGTTGGGGTCGGTGGGACAAGAGGAACCAGTGGTTGGAGACCCTAGGTGATATGGCTCAGAACCGATGTCAGTGGCGCAGATGTATACACACATTATCCTCATCTTAACAACGCTATACCGAATCTCACCATTTTGTCATTCCTCTTTCCTTTCTTCTCGTACTTTATGTTTCTTTTGACTGCATTCACTTATCTTCATGCTTCACCTCACTACCTTTTTACTTGATGAACTGACGTGAGGTGTGGCAACTCGGGCCGTTACGCAGTAATGCCTGGTCCTATGTTGATAATGATGATGATGACAGTTAGTAACCTCTACACCCGAAGGTCACCAAACGCCTGGCTTCGCAGGGTTGAATCCACTCCTAGGTGAGCGCGTGGTTAAGTCGGAGTATGTAGACGATATTGTTCTGTTAGGCGAAGTCGCTGACAAAATGTAGTCTTGTGAACGCCTTGAGTAGAAATTTGAATATGTTTGACATGCGTTTCATGCCTGTCAAGAGTGAGGTTATGCTATAGGACTGGTCTGCATCTACTCCTACTTCTGCGATAGAACTTTCAACACTAGTGTCACGGCCTGCAATCACAAATGTAGAAAGACATACGGACTTCGATAGCTATCACGTTTCTGGCTAGAAACTTCTGACACTTCATCTTCGGAATAGTACGATATGCAAACCAAGTGTCAGTAGACTTCACCTCTCTCCAGACATATTGAGGTGGTGGTAAAAAAGTGAGTAATAGCTTAATAACCTCAAGAAAAATCATGGTGAAAGTTCGTCTCTATGTGGTCGGAATCTCGAACATTATTGACGCCTGATGTTTAGTAGGAGTATGAAATATAAGCCCAAAGGTATTTTATGAATCATCGATACAAATGGCATATTCCTACGCTAGGATTCAATCTACCATCCTTGATTTGTAGTAGTACCGTCCCAGTTCTATAGAATCCTTTCGCAGAACTACCTTTGATCATGTTATCGTCTGGGTTAATAGTTTTTCCCGAAATTGTGGGTGGAATCGTTTACTTTAGTTGCAGCGACATAGCTGTGGAAGTCCTGTTTTCAAAAGTCCCACAATATGTATTGATAGTTAGTGGATAGTTCCTAGCTTTCTGCTGCTATTTTTACTTGAAGATGTTTCTGCAATGTCTAACTGCGAAAATATGGTTAATATTCAGGATGCTGTATAAGCAATCTGGAACATGAAGTTTATTGATGCTGTTTAGAGACAGCAGAAAATCAGTACAAGCATGTAGAGAACCACTGGCTTTCTTGGCTGTTACAGTAGGTGCTGCTCAATCTCAAAAGAATATAGGTATTAACAAGCATTGGTTTTGCAGACATTATAATTCTTCACCAGTTTAAATGTATGTACATATCTAACCTAACTCTTTGGGCATAATGAGTTAGGCATCAGACATAAGACGAATAGAAGCTTAAAGCGTGTTATCGTGGTATAAATCCGTTTGAAAACCAGCCTCACACACAAGCTAGTGAGATTATTTTGACAGCCACGGACCCCAACCTAGTGCTCTATGTTTCATTGTACGGATCAGAGCAACAGTCAACCTAACATTTTGGTGTCGTCTTTGTCCAATCAACCTTAGCTTTCTTCCAACGCAACCCTACCGTAGCTAACAGGGTACCACTGCCCGGCATACTTAACACTTCATAACCACTTCATTTAAGATTTACAATCTCATCGACCCAATCACTGGGCTTTTCAGATACTCTAGTTTGTTAAAGTTGATTTTAAGAATGAAAGAATGACCGAACACACGGTCATCGTCTCATTGCACTGAACCTCACGGCTTAGATACATCTCATTTGCATTTTATGTTTGCATTTTAACATCAGATAAACTAGATATATCTTTTTCACGCTTATTGATTTTTTTTGTATCAGATAAGTAAACTTTTTTTTTCAGGCATGCGAACGTGCAGTTCGTTGTATGGCCTCGTGTAATACAAATGGACTTCTGAAGTACTATGCAGATGTCATTCTAAATGGGGATAATCTTATTTCATTTACCCAACCCCACAATATTTCTGATAACAACGATAATACTGGAAGAAAAAATAATCATATAATGGCTCCACGGACAGACCCTTATTCTGTTTCGATGCCCTTACAAATAAATGGTACCTCCGATACTGATAAAAGGAGTAATAAAGTGGAGGATGAGTCTGAGCAATCTGTTAGCATTCAACAGATTCCAGATAGTAGATTATCTAATTGTTTTGTTGCTGATAACGAAGCGTCAAGCCAAAACTCCCAGATCGGTCAGACATCAACAAAGGTGAGAAGTCAGTCTACATTCAACAAACTTACAAATTATGAAAAAACTCTTCAAAATCATTCTTCACTTGCACAACGTTTGAGTACTTGTTCGCAACGTCTACTTCGTATTCGCACTAGAGCGCTCAGCTTGTTAACACGCCTATTAGCCTCCGATTCTCCAGAGTCGCAACATGAATTGCTACCCATTTCTTCTGTGGTTGGCAGTATGTTACCGGATTTGGCATATGAAGATACAGAGAGTAGTACCGATGATGAGGTCGAAATGGATACAGCTTTTTCCAGGTTCGTCTATTATCTTACAAAATAAACCTGTTTGTTTAGTTCCAAACAGTCGTGGTTGTACACCCGTTCTGTGACACACTCGAACTGGCACTGGTTGTGTACAGAGATAAAACGTGCTGAGAGATGCTTACAAAAACTTGTCATGTTAAAATACAACTCGTACAATCTGGAGAAAGAATCTGAAAGTAATAGTAGTAGTATCACCAAAACTGATGCAGAGGAAGTGACTTGTTCGCGTGTATCTTCATTTGAAAAGAAGAAGCAACATCACTATCACAACCTCTCATCACATAAATGCGCTTGTGTGATTCAAGCGATGCGTAAGTTCCTCTGATTTCTGATTTCGTTTTGTTAGGTAAAAGCTCTGCTGGTGATCCTCACATTAAGTGTTCTTGTATTCCGCCGTTTGTTGGGCCATGCATCTTATGCTGCGGCTCTGAACCCGATTCCCAGCTAGCAGAAATGTCAGATAAATCGAATGACCTTGACTTACTTATGTCAGCTCACTCATTGTGTACCCATATTCATCCCAAATTGTCTATACCAGGAGGTAGGTTTTTTTTAAGAATCTTCTACTCATATTCAAGTTACAGGTTTTACATGTTTGTTTCTAAAAAAAATTTCTTTATCCACACGTACTTGTGGGAGTCCAGTTTAAAGCCATTTTGTATTGCTAGTGACATCTTTGTAAACAGAAAGAAGGAAAATCATTTAAGAATTCATATGTTGTACATGTTTGAAGTATAAATTAAAATCCCAGGTGCCCTTCGGATCCGTTAAGTTTTTGACTAATTTTTGTAGATATTCGAGAAAAATTATCCTATCCCCCGAAATTTGGTCATAGTCACTAACATTTCAGTTTCTGAGTAACTTAAAGTACAATAACGACTCGACAGTCATTTTACTGAAGTTATCTGTATGAATTATATCCATGGAAAATTTGTGCATTGTGGAGAGAATCAATTTACCATAAGTTTATTTCTAATCAGTGCTTACACAAAATGATGGAACAAATAACTCCAACAATTGGTGTGATCGCAGAGAGTAGCTCCGCTCGAATATTGCCAGTATTAAGGAACATCATTGTGTGTAAATATTCATTACAAATATATTTAGAGTAAATTCATCTGTATGAATTCTACATACTTACTATAGCCCAGTCGTCCATATTAAGTCAATATTTAAAAGCAACTTCGTTAGTTGACAACTAGTGTCATCGTAATTATAGCAACGTGAACCACTGTCTAAAGGTTCCCAAATGCAAGAGATTTACCGGCGCCTGACTGTAGCTACATAACTTGACGTGATTGAAATTGTTGGCTTTATTGACAGATTTTGTCAGTCGGTCAATCACAAAGTGGGACCCAACATCCATCCATCGAGATGAAAGAAAAACAAACATAGGAAAAGACAATAAAAGGCTGTGGAAAGTCCCTAAAAACACAAAAAAACTAGTCTATAGCACACAGTGCCCAAATTCTGTACATGCTATAAAACAGGAAAAACAAAACAATGGTGAGGCTCGGTATAATAATGACAAACTTGAAGGCGGGATCTGGGTACATTTACGCCATTAAGATCGATTCTGCTTCATACCGCTGAGTCTTCAACCACCGATTCTGATTGTCACGTAAATGTGAATCGGAAATTCGACTGAAACTAACAATCAGACATTTCATGGACTGACACCATGCTGTAGTTTGGCCATCTGTAACCTTACTAAACGCAGGCGTCGGAGACGAAGAAATCTTACGACCTGATCAAGGGACTCACATCTGTTAACTAAGACAACGCGATTCTTTTAAGATTCAGTGCCAACAGTGGTCATACACCTAAAGCTTCACGAAGTCCGTCTTTAATTATCATGTTTCACCGCCAAGTGGTAAACCAAAACAAACCGGTGCCTGGTACACCTATCTATTATTAAGCACTTGGATATCTCATTAACTCAGTTTCAATGAAAGCAAACTAAAATTTCAGCGAACATCAACTAACCAACATTGACATCACTCTCCAAGTAAGTGGAAACTGCTCAACCGCTTCATCTTCTATTCTTATAAACAGGACACCAGTAAAGACCAGTCCTGGAGCAACAATTTGCATTTCGGTGGCGAGAAAAGCATTCCACACATTCCCAAATTGCCATTCAATGAGTCCAGTAGACTCTACATCCTATCAGAGTATCTACCTAACTGGACTATCTCATCCAGGTATTCTACACCTACCAAGGATTCTATTGTAATAAGGTCAACCCATGTAAATACAGACGACGAGAGGGAGGCCTCCGTGAGCGATGTCCATAACAAAGTTGAATAAGAATACAGAGAGTGGACATCCTTGAAGGACGCCACTCGATGCACACAACTCACCTGATACACCTACCTCACGATGAGCTCCCACACAACCAACGGGTGCTCGGTACACAGGCTTCAACAGAGTGATGTACTTAGTCAGTACTGAGTTCAGTGAGAAATATTGTTCTAAGACCTCTCGAACGACCAGGTTCAGGTTCATAGATGTAGCTGGTCTCGGATTCCGGTAAGTGTGTTTGTGTCCCAAAAAATGGAGGAGAGTGAAGATTTGGTGGATGCGTCCACGGTCAGGTCTGAAGCCTGTCTTCTTTTCTCCGGTTCGCTGTTCCCATGCTTCACTTAGACGTCCAATGGTTAGACAACGTAGAATCTGAGACATAGTGTTCGTCAGACTGGTTCCCTTGTGGTCATCACAAGGTGACGTCTCACCTTTCTTTTGAGACCAGATACAGGGGATCACATCTGACGACCACATGCTAGTTAGTTAATCCGACTAATAATCAATCCTCTACCACCATCCTTAAATACTTCTGATACTAGTCGGTCTGGTCCTGCTGAATTTCCTCGTTTCAGGTTGCTTGCAGCTTCATCGACTTTTGTAAGTGTTGGGCGTGCTATCTCGACGTTCTATTCATGATCCGACTGGATAGTGGGCAACGTAATAACAGCTGCAGGCCAGCTGAGCTGCTTCCCGAAGTGTTCTGCTAATCGTTGCAGTAGTCTTTTCTGTGATTGAATCGAACAGCTATCTTCCTCCATTATGGTCCCATCAACCACTGATGTTTTACCCGTTCGCTTAACAAGTCTAAGTAATTTCCTGCTGTTCCTATCTCCACTGCTTATCCTATCACTTTAATCTTCGTCACCAACCACTACTCATGGTCATTGCATTAACTCATTATCAGCCTACATTTGAGTTGTTTCCGTTTCTCATTGTGATCGGGGCCTGGAGCGGTGTTCGTGTGAATGCGCTCATTCAGAAGAAGCTGCTGAGATCCACTGTCTCTTCTTAAACATTCTCAGAGTGAGTTAAGGCCTTCCATAAAGATTTTACACAAGAATGGAAATGACACCTTATTCCTTCGAAATGAGTTACATGGTCCTGTTGCGAAAATTGCTTAACTGAAGAGAAAGGTGTAAAATCAAGGTGGAACCTCCAGTGGAAGTGAATGTTTTCAAGTTACCGTGCTTCACAATATCAGGCAAAGATAAAGCGAGTAGTAATGAGTGATGTCACGGTAGATAGAAATGTGTGGAAGTAGAAATGTTTTCAAAATGAAGGTTTCTTTAAAATGTTCTGGCTATAGAAGACGTCAGTGAGTGAATACGTTTGCGGTAGTGTGAGCGATTAACAGCCATGTCACCAAGGCTCTCCAACCATTGGTTTCTTATCACATGGAAGACCTTAACCAGGCAGTCTGCATTCCCCTTTAGGACTGACATCAGCGGTCAGAGATTGCATCGACTGGTGCTAAATTTTAGTTTGGCTACTCGAAATCTTCTTCCACCTGTGTTCTACTTATCCTTAGCACTGCATATTGACGAATATTCTCTACCTCCTCATCGACTGACTTACTTTACTTGCCTCGTACCTTCTGTTTCACCTCTACATTGACCACATGGTTGGTTCGAGCACACTTGAACAATGCTGCACAGACACATGCGATAAAAAATTTGTAACCGCTTTGTATCTAGTTTTAACGACCATGTCTGGAAGCCGTCCAACAGGACAGAACACACTGTAGTGCGGTAGGCTCATTTCCTGTGCCGTAGACGGACGCTGCGCTGGTGCAAGAGATGACGTATGTCCACAAGTGCTAAATGGGTCTTCCGTATCCTAATTAAGACTTCGTCCATAATGCAGTTAAACAGAAATGGTGGTTGTGAGCATTTCTGGTGGACACCACTGGTTATCGTCAATTCTGACGGCATTCTTACATGGGTGCATGATTTCAAGTAGAGAGCTTTTATTAGCAGTCCATACTTGCCCTGTACTCCCTTCACATTAAGACTACTTAGTCTCTTCTCTGTTGAAGTTGGTGCTGCTGAATGTCATGCAACCACTTGTACTGTGATGGTACTGGTACAAGTTGTGGCATTAAAATAAGGCATGTGGACAGTGTTACCTGCCTTCCCCAAGTTTAGCCATCTATCGTACTTACATCAGGCTTTCTCCTGTTCATACGAACTATAATAACTGCAGGAAGCGCCACATATCACGGGGTATCCAGGTCTTCAGATAAGAAGACTTAGAGTGTCATGTCTTAGAATTAGTTGATGTTACGGATACATTCATCCTTCGTCCTGCAAAAGCAACATTTCGTTACCTTTTTGTCTTAGTTTGCTCCTACTATTAATATCTGTATTTCCACGTGTTTCACCTTTATCGTCCTCCTCTTTCTAACGCGAAGTGTTCCAGTGTGGACTGGTACATCACTTTTTTGTTTCTGTTTCTTTACTTTGGTTGCTTGGTTGTTGCCGATTGTTGAACATGAAAACTCGTTAATGTAAAGCCTTTTTGACCCATTTGCTGATCTGAATACAAAGTTTTTTACAGATGTATGAAACTTGTTAAAGTAAGCAATTTCCTTCAGATTATCTAGTTCAATTTATAATATTCAGACCACAGTACTTGTTTTGTAGTTTGTTGATTCACAGAGCTTCAGGAAATCATTGGCACCACGCGTCATTTCGTTTACTCTACGTGCCGGTACTTTATGAGACATAGTCACCTTGCGAAAATTTGAGGTGGTGATTTATTTTTATGAATTTCGTATAGTTGTTATGACTGGTTCTCACTGGTGACATACTGCTGTTTTGTTAGATTTCACAGTTTATTCCTGTGATATAAAATAAGCACATGTTAAGACATTACCCAATAATCACTAGTTCTTTTGTTGCTGTCTATCGTAGATGTCCAGTTAGCTCTTCGTTTGGAATCTCGTCTCGCTGCATATTCTTCAGTTCATTTCCGACCTCATAAAGCTACTGTTCGTTCTATACAACCTTGGGAAAAACCAAATTGTTTACAGCCATTAAATTTTACCAATTCTAACCCAACTGTTTCGTCCCGATTTGAACTCAGTCAATCGACAGAGACACCATCAAAATGCCAATCATCACGTCCCAAGAATTCTCGTTTACGCAAGCGCAAATTGGTCTCGTCAAAAAGCTCAAAAGTTTGCTCTTCGCGCGTGAATTCAACCAAATTACTTCGTACACCTGCGAGATATGTACAGGTACGATTCATAGGATATTTCCTGTTATTAAAATGTCACTTTTTAGTTTACGGCGTATTTCTTGATTAGAATACATGTTTTTATCAAGTGCTTGCTGATGTGAAGAATTTTTAACAGGGCATAGAAACTCACCAATATATTATTTTACATGTTAATCTGTCTAAGCCCACTTAGTAAATGTTTTAGGTAGTTATGATTCTCTTATGGTAGCGTTGATTTCTTTTACTATTAAGTAGATAATACAATATACGATTTTCTCTAGAGAATTAAAGTTCAAACCGATTGCGGTAATTTTTTAGATTGACATGGCTAAATCGACTTCGCTTCACCGATTTCACCAACCAAATATAATGTTATTTACGAGTTGGATAGTATTATACTAGCCATCTGTAACTGCACTTTCGTTCCCGACAAAAACGTCGACATGCTAGAAGTAACGAATGATGTACTACGCTAGCAACATAACTTTGATTTGAATATGTGGAATAACAAAGAAGGTAATCTTAAAAAGAGAAGTTGAAGCAAAAACAAAACTAAGATTGGACTTTTCTTTCACTCTCTTATCTTGAGTTCATGTTATTGCAGAAGACAGAAGGAAACGTCAATAGAATCGCTGGGAATTTCAATATTGAGTCATCTGAAACCGATACCAATCGCTTGATCTGTGGGACAAAAACAAGTAAGCGGTTTGTACCAGAAGAGTCTAATCCATCAAAACTGCTTTATTTCCGCAGCACATAGTTGCAAACTGACCTCAGTTTTCCTTCACTTAACCTTGGCAAATAGTGTGGGAGTTGTTCATATGTGTTACATATACTTGTGACGCAAAGATCGATGTTTTAATTTAACTCCAACGATTTAATATTAGTCTATACCTGTTATACATTCCGAGCGGATATAATACGCACGCTTAACTGATACTTAACTTCGTACGCAAGACCCACTAGCTCCAACCCGGAAGGAATAAAGAAGAAGACTGAGCTGGATGGAAGAGCTTATTTCTCCGAGACTAGTAATCACCTAACCCAAACATGCGTCTGTATGTATACACATGAGATATGAACTTGCCCGAAAATTGAAACATTAACGGTAAAAGTAAGCATTAACCAATCAGCGAAACTACCTTGCAAATGGGGGCAGAAAATGAACTACTGACCATGTTGTGAAAAGTGGTGTAAAAACGACAATCTAAAAAAAGGTTGAGGTTGATAAACAACATCTTATATACAACTAAGGCCTCCCAACACTACCATGTTTCAGAAGTACTGTTAGTATCCGCAACTCGAGGTGTCCACGTTTGAAAGCTGGAAATAAAGACTACTTTTATCTTGTTGCACGAGTGGTACATTTTTCAGTCAAGCCAATTCGACAGCTCCAAAGATCTTCCAGATTAACATACATCACTCTAACTTTCACTGTGCCAGGACTGATCTTGTCGGCTAAATCCAATAGGCAGTCATATAGTAACACAAATACTTACTTTTCGACTACTTCCAGTGGTCTATCACTGACAGTGACCATATACTTCTGCATTCCGCTAGATAAGCAACTCGTCTTGCTCCACTGAAAGATGATGTCATTCATTCAGACCGATAGCTGCTGCTACCTTGACGTGGTAGTCTGGCTGACATATCACAGTGTCCCATAAAGCCATGCTGGTAGAACATTTGTATGCTCGTTGAATCCTACCATACCAGAAAGATCTGTTGAATAGTGGTAGGACGAAAAGCAGTTACCCTGACAGTGTACATCTTTGCACTATTATGGGGTGGGGGCGGTTTTGAAGGCGAAGTCGTACTGTTGGCTGCATCCAGATGTGCCAGCAGTAAAACGTTTCTTTTGGATGACCAGAATTGCCACATTAGTGCTGCATATCTCTGGAAATTCGGGTGTGTTGGAAAAAGTTGAGCCCAGAAATAGCACACTCTCCTGTACCCCAAGGCATATCGGTGCCGGCGACTGATAGTCGGATCTGAGAAAAGCAAACTGAGGCCTCAAACTTTTAAAACGGTTGTGTGTGATCAACCTCAAGCAGATGTTGTTTGGGCTCTGTAATCACGCTTTGAACCTTCTTTTTCAGTTACCTCAAGAAAACTGATCGTTCCATGGTGTGGGGATCTGGGAAGTGTTAACCACCCTAACAGCTCTCTTCGCACTCAACTTCCCTCGGATCACTGTTCATCTTAACTGTCCTTAACTTCTAATCTTCCTTCGCATCTTCCGGTCGATATTCATACATTATCTTTAAGTAGCAGTAGACGGTTATTTAGACTTGTTAAGCGAACGGGTAAAACATCAGTGGTTGATGGGACCATAATGGAGGAAGATAGCTGTTCGATTCAATCACAGAAAAGACTACTGCAACGATTAGCAGAACACTTCGGGAAGCAGCTCAGCTGGCCTGCAGCTGTTATTACGTTGCCCACTATCCAGTCGGATCATGAATAGAACGTCGAGATAGCACGCCCAACACTTACAAAAGTCGATGAAGCTGCAAGCAACCTGAAACGAGGAAATTCAGCAGGACCAGACCGACTAGTATCAGAAGTATTTAAGGATGGTGGTAGAGGATTGATTATTAGTCGGATTAACTAACTAGCATGTGGTCGTCAGATGTGATCCCCTGTATCTGGTCTCAAAAGAAAGGTGAGACGTCACCTTGTGATGACCACAAGGGAACCAGTCTGACGAACACTATGTCTCAGATTCTACGTTGTCTAACCATTGGACGTCTAAGTGAAGCATGGGAACAGCGAACCGGAGAAAAGAAGACAGGCTTCAGACCTGACCGTGGACGCATCCACCAAATCTTCACTCTCCTCCATTTTTTGGGACACAAACACACTTACCGGAATCCGAGACCAGCTACATCTATGAACCTGAACCTGGTCGTTCGAGAGGTCTTAGAACAATATTTCTCACTGAACTCAGTACTGACTAAGTACATCACTCTGTTGAAGCCTGTGTACCGAGCACCCGTTGGTTGTGTGGGAGCTCATCGTGAGGTAGGTGTATCAGGTGAGTTGTGTGCATCGAGTGGCGTCCTTCAAGGATGTCCACTCTCTGTATTCTTATTCAACTTTGTTATGGACATCGCTCACGGAGGCCTCCCTCTCGTCGTCTGTATTTACATGGGTTGACCTTATTACAATAGAATCCTTGGTAGGTGTAGAATACCTGGATGAGATAGTCCAGTTAGGTAGATACTCTGATAGGATGTAGAGTCTACTGGACTCATTGAATGGCAATTTGGGAATGTGTGGAATGCTTTTCTCGCCACCGAAATGCAAATTGTTGCTCCAGGACTGGTCTTTACTGGTGTCCTGTTTATAAGAATAGAAGATGAAGCGGTTGAGCAGTTTCCACTTACTTGGAGAGTGATGCCAATGCTGGTGAGTCAGCGACTGTATACGTCTCTCCATAGATGTGGAAGTCTCGTTGGAATTTCTCCGACTTACGTCACTTCTGACACCGCTGTTATATCCGACCATCTATTAGGAGTTGGTTGTGCATCGCTGCAGCTCTCAGTATCCGCCTACTAAGTGGATGTGAAACTGCCATTAAAGACAGAGGATATGAGAAGGCCTCCGGTTTTGCCTTGGTAGCATAGGCCGTGTGTTGTCGTGCCACCGCACCAGTCATGTAGATGTCAGGTAGGCATAGAGTTTTAGTGAAGTCAGACGATGGAGGTTGTAAGTCTTCATCGACTGGTGTGGCATGGACGTGTGTTGCGCATGCCTTGTCACAGTCCACCTCATCGTACACTGTTATTTGATATAAATTTAGTCTGGAGGAATGTTTGGGGTGTGAAATGTTTGGCTGTTGGTGCGAGCCGTGTAGGGAAATGTAGACTTCCTATGTTGTGGTCGGCATGACAACAGAAACCAGTGGTTGGAGATTGTGTGAGATATGACAGAAGCGAGCTCATTGGCGCAGGTGTATCCACACATTATCCTCATTTTAATCATCATACTGGATTTCATATTTTCTTATTCCTCCTTCCTCTTTTTTCACTACTTCCTATCACTTATGACTGGTTCTTGTTGATTGCGTTTCCTTTCATGTTAATTTTTTGTATCTTGATGTGCTGATATGTGCGACACCTTGGATGGGTTGTGCAGTAATACCTAAAAAAAAACAATTGAAATACACTCATCAACCTTGTGCACTTTGTGCAGTAGGCGATGAGCAACCCATAGTATCTGAAGGTTAGTGATACCTTGCTGTCCAAACCTCGGTAGGTTGGAGGGTTGGCTGAAACTCGGAGAAATTTATTTGTACCGTTATTCATCGATAAGCTACTTTTAATCCCATCATTAAATAGTGAAATCAGCTGTTATTTTAGGTCACTGAATTTGATGCTTAGTTTTAGATCCATTGGTATATGGGTGTTAACTTTTTTCCCCTGTGATGTTTTTGTTGGTCGCATATTATCATTGGTACGATTAATTGCATAGTGCATGAATTACATGAAGCCACGTTTTACTTTCGTTCTACGCTTTGTATAGGGTTTTTGAAGATGTTGGTAAGCTTCTTTCCATTCTGAAAAACTATACTTCAGCATTAGGTTATTGAAAGTTACAAATAAATTAACATGTTGTCACCTTGCAGTTATATAATTGATGCAGATAATCGTTTGTAACTTCTGTGAAATTACCCACTTTCGTTCCAGCTGCACCTACTATCTAGTGGTTTCATCACTACGTTTATTACAATAATTTCGATCAAGAAAAGAAATAAAACAAAGCCATGTTGATATCTACGCGACGGTTTAAAGAGAGCGATTTTGTCTGAGTTCAGATTTGTTGAGGGGAAATGATAATTATTGAAAACGTGTGTACCAGTGCGGACTGCTTCTGGTCGTATTCTAAACTATTGATTTCGGTTAGCTCTGGGAGTTAAACAAGACAACCTCTGCACTCGTGTACAAAACTCAAACCAACAGTTAGTAATTTATACTGGGTGATGATTGAAGGTGAAATGAAAATCTGGACCGCGGCCGGACTGGAACCAAAGGCCACCGGGTTACCGGCTCGGTGCTCTACCAACTGAGCTACGAGGTCTGACTGCTGACCAGAATTTTATTTCACTTCAATCACCAAGGGTTTTGCCCGACTACCATATGAATTCGTGATGCGTTACTACCGCTTGATCGTATTCACGCTGACTGCCTAGTCAGGACTTCTCATCCCAATCCAAATCTGACTGAATCAGGGAGAGGGAGCATCATATTGATTATCATTTGACTATTTGAGATTAGCCATAGTTTGGCAGACTAGTATTTATACTAGGTGAGATTGAAGGTGAGATGAAAATCTGGAGTAGTTCTAGACCTCGATCTGTTCACCGAGAGTTTCGTTTCTACCGTACCCTACTTCATAAGTATTTCATGTTGAGGTAGAGAGATACTTTGTTGGTATGCATAGCGTATGTTGTAAATTCGTCTATCAATGAACCTTACATCCTGGTTAACCTACTAGCCTTTCTTACTCAATGCCCTAAAACTGACATGGTGGTTATGCCTCGTTTATAATGTGCTGTTCCTTGTAAAGTTGTACATGAACGTGCATATTTTTACTTAGTCGTGAATGTGATTATTTTCGTTCAGCTTAGTTTTTGTGTGTATGCTGTGTCTAAGCCCTCAATACAAATTTGTAAATGGATGATTTCAGTAATTTATAATTATTACCTTTTAAGGGTTATTTATTCACCTCACTTTGTTTTTTTTTCCGTCAGAGTGCTGATGATGAAGGTGAAAGTCAGTAAGGGGAAATTAGTTTCTCCTAATTGTATCCGATGCGGAGATATACGCTAGTCGTCATTCTGTGAATGCCCGTGTGTTGAAGTAACGAAAATTATTAGATTTTCTGTTCATATTCCTGTAATATCAACGTTCTCTGTATTATTATTATTGTTAGTATTACTGCTTCTAACTCGGAATCTGTTGCTTCTCTATATGTTTGTATTAGCGTTGGCTATAATTTTATCCCCACTGTGGCGGGGAAGTTTGTATGAAAGCATTTATCGTCTCTAGTCTTTTTTTTTTAAAGAATTTTATTTTGTCAGAAAGTTATCCATTTTAACCACTATCCAAGAGGCCAATTGTTGTTGTTGCTGTTTGCTTTATGGATTATATACATCTATAATCAAAATAAGTCGAAAATTCTTCATTTGCATTCATTACCAACAAAGTTGTATTACTGTTTCATCTGTTAGCTAAATGAAGTGAAATTCTTCTATTCTTTTTTATGCTTCTTACTTAATTACGATTATCTGAGAACTTTATATATATATATATATATATATATATATATATATATATATATATATATATATATATATATATATATATATATATATAATATACATTCTTGTTTGTGTATAGTAGAGTGTGAACTGCTTCTTATTTCATCCAATATTTTTATCCCACCCCTTCAACTCGTCGTTGTATATTTTATAACACAAATTTGTATATTTTGTATATTCCTGTCATCATTCAGTAATCAAGTCAGTGCAATTTCCGGTGTATTTTATTCTTGTTTTATTGAAGTGCGCCATCTTATCTTTTCGACCAGTATATTTGATCATGCGATATAAGATGAATGTAAAAAGTTATTGACTATAGGATGTTGAGATTCTTTTAATTTCAACAACAAGTTTTGGTCAAGCTTTCATTGTCTCTGTTAAATTGATGTAAGAAATAACGGTTTTCATTTCTTTTAAGGAGAAGACGTCTTTTTTGGAGCGTAGCTGAAAAACAGGTGTAGACAAATCACTAGCTTAATTTAACTTGGCGTGTTTAGATCTGAAAGTCGATCTTTCTAATTCGTTTGCGTATAATATGCATCTCAGTGATATTTTCAATAACTTCATCACTGAACAGAAGAATGAGTCGTAGAAATATATTCAGTAGGTCAAACTACTTTCACGGAAAGAATCAATTATCCCATTGCAAAACGAATAAGGAAACATACTAAAGCCTATTTAAGGCTAAGGATGAGGTTTATCGTTATTTTGTTCTGCAGGCTTTGAAGTCTATTCTCGGACATTTCATGGTCAAGTTAATTGACTTCATCAGCACTTTCAAATCGCATGAATGTTTGTATAGGATATTTGCTGACCTCGAGTGCTATTTTGCTTGTAAGAAGGGATGGGTTTTTACTATCGTATGTTGACTTTTCTGACTGTTATGACCATTTGACCTCTGCAGTTGAACTTATATCCGATTATTGATTTCCGGTTGGTTAATCTCTTCTCATTAGTTCGTATACTGGATCAATATGCACATGCGGTTTATGCACTTATCATTTCACTGGCCATAAGAATCACTACTTGAATGAAACCTAAGAGATCAAAATAAGTAACGAACAAGGCTAATCGGAACACTTGTGGAGTTTTGGTTGTATTGTGTTTTCTGAGCTGGGTGGTCTAATCGTGAAGCTTTCATCGTCCTTCTAGACATCATCAGCACTAACTTTAGTATAACTTCATATTGAGGTTAGTGCTGATGATATCGTCTAGAAAGACGATGAAAGCTTCATGATTAAACAACCCAGCTCAGAAAATTCAATCAAGATCATCCACCTGAGCTACAAACATTCTCCACCTATGCAGTTTTGAAGAAGTTTTTATTCAACCTAAAGGTTTGAAGTGAACTCTCTGTGAAACTAGGTTATGTTTTTGTATAATTGCTTGCCAGATCGGTCAACATCTAATATGCCCTAATAAAAAGTTTTCAAGAGGTAAGTGAATATTGCACTAAGTTCAACGTGTACTGATGTCTCTGCATTGATAAAATTGTTTGTTGAATTCCACGTCACTTAGGATGGTCATTTATGGATAGGTATGACCGGCTTTTTGCAACCTTTCACCTTTGGAGAAATTTAGTAGTATCAGGTTTCTTTTCTCCAATTGACTCCTAGAACTTTAGAGTACCGCTAGGATGATAGTACATAGCTCCGCTGAATATGTTTTAAAATCAGGTTTCTTTTTAAAATGTTAGCCACTAATCAAAACATATATTCAAAAGGTTTTGAATTTTGTGCTATTTTGGTCTTTTTGAGGCAAATTAATGAAGGATACCCACTAATCGTGAAGTATACACCTATAATTGTTTTCAAACCACATAACACCAGTACTTCGGAACATAACTTCTTTTGTTAATGTGGATAAAATGGTATGGTGAGTTTTTTTAACAAGGCCTCACTAGTTATTCTGACATACACTTGACAGTTGAATTGATCATTCTACCTATTCTGTCGGCTATCCTTGCATTTACTACAGTCAGTGATAATGAGTTACTATTAATCCATTTGTGTTTATGTTCTTAAAATAAACTGATTGTACCGGCTGGCGTGTCTGAGTCTCTAATTTCAAATGTATTTAACACTGTGTTTATGATTCATATCTTAACCCAACTATAATGATTTCTAGTGAATATAGAACTTCATTATACAAAATAAGTTCTAATATTGTCTTAGGGTGTTTGTGAAGTCGAAAGATTCCTCTGGACATGTGTCTGTGTAAGCCGCATCTTCTTCGATAGAACATTAGAATTGTTATTTTTCTGGGACATTAATAAATCTGATTAGAATAGTTATAATATTTAACTTTTAAAATTTATGTGAACTTTTCTAATCTCCGACACGCGTACATTCTTCCTTTGATCTGCATTCAAAGTAAAGCCGACAATGTCAGCTACATTTAAACTCCAAATTACTTTACTAAAGGTGACAGCAATGGTTCATGATGCTACCAAAAATGTGTCTTTCAGTTATGATTCGCCGTCAGTATACCATTTAATATGTACATAATTGGGTGGAACTTCACTGTTTAGAATAAATTAAAAACTATTACTTGTTCGTGTATTTATAGTATTTCCTGTTAAAACATGTTAGCATAAATGTGACGTAGTAAAACACCATCGAATGTGCTGATTTTTTGTTTACTGAAGAGAAAAATTCCTCAGGACGATTATATACGTAGCAATCAAAACATGTTTCTCCATGTGTTAAAAAGGAATCTTTTGTACTTTCCAGTTGTCTCCAGACTTCCAGAAACACACTGAGATTATCTTTCACTTTTCGAATGTATTTCAGGAAAACTGCGATCCTGTTCTAAAGCAAAAGCTACATTAAGTCTGCTTGACAACAGCAAACCTATTTTTTGACCCAAACGTTCTATTCCACATGCCACCACCACCTTGGTCGATATCAAACTACGTCAACTTGAGAAACCTGGAATTATTACAAAAGTTGATTATTCTGATTGGACTGAACTTATCTCTGTCGTTTGCAAAGACAACGGATCTATTATAATTTGTATAGATTACTTGAATGGACTGAATTTGCACCACTATGCTGATCTATTTAGTAAATTTAATGGGAGAGGGAATCAACTTTTCTTAGGCACATTTCAGCAGATGAACAGTCAAAACATCGGCTCAACTTAGTACATATCGTGGATTATACCAATTCAACTGACTACCATTTGGAGTCAAATCACTGCCAGGAATATTTCAAAAAACTGTTGACACAATGTTGTCAGATTTCTCATTTGAATTTGCATGCTTTGATGACATCATTATCGTTTCCAAATCACTTGACGAACACACTTTACATGTGAATTCTGTATTAAATCACACCAATGATTATGGATTTACACTGTACTTTACAAAATCTGAATTTTATATTAGTCCAAATTAAGTATCTTAGATTTATAGTTGACAAACATGGTCGTAGACCTGGTTTGAGAAAAATCTAAGCCACCTCCAACAAACGTTTCTATGCGCTAGTCATTTCTTGGCGTGATCAGTCATTAGTACTGTTTCTTTGCAAAATTGCATGAACTTCGTGGATCTCTAGATGCACTACTTTTGAAAAATCAGCGATGGGACTGGAGTTAAGAATACTAGAAATTCTTTGATGAGCTGAGAAAATGTTAACTTCTAATTTACTTCTATCACCTTATGATCCTAAGCTCGATGTCATAGTGAAAGCTGATGCCTCACACTACGAAATCGGTGCCATGATCTTACATCGATACGCAGATGGTACCTAGAAGGCAATCGCCCATGTCTCTTGTACCTTAAAATCAGATGGCCGAAACTATAAGGAGACGGAGAAAGAAGCCAAGACGTTTCGGTGCATGCCGTATGGCTGTTATTTCATGCACCAGACCGATCGTAAGCCATTACTAGATATTTCTGGCTCGAAATCTGGTATCTTAGTTTATACAGTCAGTCGCTTTTAATTCTGGGCTACCTTGTTGCTTGAATATAACTTCACCATTCAGCATATTCCTAAGCAAAAATTCGGTTGACTTCTTTTCACCATCCATACTTCACGTTGTCACAAGATGCTCTCAGTGCGAAATTCTCAGTTGATGACTATGTTCACATTTCTGTGAATTTCTCTGTCCAACCACTGTTACAGTCAAAATGATCCAGGGACCTACAAAGTCTGATAAATTGCTTTGGCAAGTAATTCGATATGTCCAGAAGCGTTGATGGAAATGCACCATTAAGTATCTACGATTGCACCAGTTCTATATGCGTCGTAACTCGCTGTCTGTTGCAAACGGATGTATAATGCTTTCACATAGAATGGTGGTACCTTCAGCTTTACAAAGTATTGCACTAAGTCAGTTACATGTACATCATCCGGGAATAACGCATGAAGTCATTAGCACGCCGTTAAATGTTTTGTTCATTCATCGATAGAGATAACGAAAAGCCAGCGAAGGCCTGTGACAGGTGTGCACATTCA